GGAGCGCGCTTCCTGGGCACTGTGGGGACCCCACGATAGTTTCTTACCCCTTTATGGATTATTAACTGTGGTTCGTATATTGTTTTCAATTATGCCTTTAACACCTATGCCTTCAGGGCCTTTCTAGTGTGCCTACCCTCTCCTGGATTAACATTGCTGAGTTGCTTTCAGGCATTGGAAACACGGAGGCACTTGTGTTTATACATTTGTATTTCATGAACTTAGAGGTATAGAAGAAAGTACTGAAGCTTTAATTAAAAAAACATATGCAGAAAGGTTATTTTTAAACTTCTGATTTTAAAGCTTGCAATATGACCTAGTCGATAATACGAGGGTGTATAGGAAGAAAGGGCAGGCTGGATATAATTGTGGCGCATGGGATATGGTTGTTCTTGTTGTTGTTCAATTTTCAGCAGATCCGTCACACGAAACGTAGAGAATAAAAGGTTCTGCTCCGTTTGCAGTTGTCACAACGTTCACCGGTAAATGTCAGCGTATAATTCAAAATCACCAATTTTATTTGTCCGGTCAAACGAACGTTGGACTTTCCAGTGCAGTTCGGCATCACTGTTGGATTGTAACTTATGTATCATTTCTTAAGTGCGACAGAACACCAGGCGTCCTGCTCCTAAGAGTATTTTTAAAGGAGAGTAATATAGAACGCAAATATAAACGTAATATTTTTGCTATTTGTAGTTTAACTGGCTTAGTATTTAGAAGACTGCAGATTTAAAATTACTCGGCAATTTGGATAAACGTGCTTTGATTTTTTACAATTTAATTAAGAGAATTACTATATTATTTGTATCTTTGAAGTTGTAGATAAAAATAAAAAACGTAATAGAAGAGGACACTTACACTATCCGAAAACCAGCTCGTGTTCACCTGGAGGACTTACAGAGATATTTGAAAAGTGCATTTCTCCGCTTATGTTTGTGTCCTGAAATACCCAGGTGGGAATCATAAATTTGAAAATCTGACATACCTTATTCTCTGCGACGTACAAAAGCAGTACATGTTCACTTTTTCCGTCCCACTTAAGATTTTGAATTTTAGCGTTGCTTGGAATTGAAGAGTCTATAAGCAGTAATACGCATATGTAGACTTTATAACTGCAATCTCTGCAAACATATAGTTATAATGAAACCTAAATGTATAAGGATTCTTATGCGATTTTTCAAAAATGTCTTATCCTTATGTATGAACGTCCTATTATAAAGCTGACAAATAGGACCAGAGGCGAACTGCGCTGCAGATCATAAAAACCACTGACGGAAGAACAAGGATCACAAGCTAAATAATTTATTACAGAAAGCTCCATTCGTCATTATTGAAGCAAGAGTACACGTCCATGATGCCTTCCAGTTCTGCTAGAAATATGTGCGATTGGCCAAAAAACGAACCATGTGGATATCCTACGCATTAGTTGCATGAGACACATGTATGCTAAATTGTGTATAGCTGGTAATAAATATGTTTTCAATCGTCTGCGCACAGCAAAGAAACTGATGAGAAGAATAAGCCCTCACTACAGACTGACACTTCCTCGTGAAGAAACTATGTTATGATTGATTAGTGAGGCCCCAATAATATCATCGACTAATAATGAAAAGCTACTTGCTACTGTTCAGTAGTCCAACTTTTTATTTCTTCCACCGAGGATTCACTAAGATGCAGGAGTTGTTTTCGCGCGCAAGTTTTCTTTTACCCTCGAATCGCACGTTTCGTTCACATCTAAACATTGTCTCAGTGGCCTTGCCCGGGGCTTGCGAAGAACCCCCCTCCCCCTTGGTGGTAGTAACTGAAGTAACTTACAGGCGCTCGCCGGCTTCTTAGTGGTAGTAAAAAATGTACTTCAGTGACTTCCCCCAAGGTCAGCAAACATCACCCCCCCCAACTAACACGCGCTCGACGTAGGTCAAGTATGGCCTCACTAATAAATCCTGCCAAAATTATTACCCGAAAAAATCTGGCGCCGCTGTACTTCGGAAATGAAAGGTTCTGCACTCACCTATGGAATTTCCTTCCCGTGCATTAATAACGACTGCCGCTGGGAGTTTTGCACTGCCAAGTGGATGGAGAACAATAGCTGCTGTATCGGCATTTCGATTCTGCAAAAGCCCTGAATATAATTTGTCTAAAAACCAAGCTAGATATTGGATTAAAGACTTACAGAGTGTAGCAGACATGGAAAACCAAACAGACTACCCATGATGTACTAAGCACATTTGATTGCGGATAAAATTCTACCATCCATATTTTTCGAACATGATTATCAAAATGTGCAGGAGACGTTTTCAGGAACAGGTTTACCCCCTATTTCGATAGACTAAAACAGAATGTGCACGTCATTGCAAACGTAAAAAATAATTTTTTTGAAAAAGTGACATTAAATACGTACCGCTGGCGTCTATGAATAGCAGCCGATCCAAATAAATTTTGCATGCGACTTTGAGTAGATGTCGATACCTGCAACATGTTAGGATGAAGTCAGGAAAAGCATCCGATTGCTTTTAAAACAGATTTTACGCTTTAAGTGTTGTGCAGGGTATGCGCTAGCTTAAGAATTAACTCACCAAATGTAGACGTCATAAAGATGTTGAAAACACAGAGACGGAACATGAATACTAAAAGATGCATAGAAGAAATACAAAACCTTAATGGGAAAACTCAATTCAATCCGTCGTCCTTAATAGCACATAAATAGGAGTATGCACTCACTTATTAAAGGTCGCCTTCGTCACTGAAGCCTGGTGAATAGGTGAGTAAGTATAAAGGATTTCCCTTCGCTATGAAAGTATATCGTCGGAACCACACATACAAGCATCCACTAAGGACCTGTGACGTGGGCGTTGAAAACAATGTGCTGGTATGGCGTTCTGTTTTAACGAAAAGGTCTCGCACGACGATCAATTTAACAGTACTTTCCGGCAGTCTTCAGGCGTGTTTAATCTACAAAAATGCAAATTATGTGCTTTTTATTCTTCCCCTTTCTTATTAAAAATTTCGTTCGTAATTCTAACGAAAATATATTTCTCCTCACTGCATTCATTTTCGTTAAGTACGTAAAAATGCATATCACAGTAATTTACTTGAAATTTTAAAAATCCGCTAATAATGGAAATTATGGTTGGACTTCGGCGATGGGGGAATACGTAAGTATTGCTAGTAGGTTAACTTACCCATATAATTATTACTGCGCGATAGTATCTCGGCCGACTGAAAGTTCAAATGACACGAGCCGGTAGACAGAAGAAAAGCAAAGAGCGAAAGTAAAAAAAGTTAATTGGCCGTCATTTTGGATCGCGATTTGGAAGGATTTTAAGAAGACCTATCTTGTTCACAACTCCGGCAATTCGTTGACGATCCCGGGCCCTGTTCGCCCTCTCTTCGTAGTGACCCCTAGGGAGTGGTGATGTAAGGGATGTTTATACATATAGGGTTTCCTAAAATGATTTGCCCTTGTGAAAAGTTCGATAAATACTGAATGGTAAATTCAAGTTTTTGGAAATCATGCAAGGTGAATGCGATTCGAAGGAGAAAAACGTCACTAATGGGAGGAGGGAAATGTATGTGAGATAAGACCGTCCTGTAGATATGCATTCGTGAGGCAGTAAGGGGAAAGGCCATCGTAGGCATCACCAGTAATTAATGGTCGCAAAGAGGAGGGGGTGAAGAGGTCACGAGATCATCACCGAATTGCCGGTGGTGTGACCATGATAGATCTTGGTGTCATTTCGTTTATTTATCTGTGGTTATTCGTTGTTTTCCACCTCGTGAAAGCATAACATATGACTACGGTTTTCTTTGGCAAGAGCATTACAGCGCACATGTGGAACCAAAATTGCACTCCGTGAGGGCTGTAACTTGTTTAGATTTTTGGCAAATCTTCCGACTTGTATGTGTCAGTTAAGGAGGCACAAATTTTTTTTCGCTCAACTGAATTAATTGAACTAGAATGATACACATATTTAACTGAGCTAATCGAAAAGGTGAACAAAGTATGGGCAGTTGGGGAGGGAGAGAAAAAAGATAGGAAGGAAATGATGCGGGTCAACTACTCACACTCAGTCGCCCTCCGTCGACACGTTCCGCCAGCAGCACAGACCACGGAAGAAACTCCGCAGCCTCTGACGCCATCGTTTGCGTTTCTACAAAAAGAAGAGGAATCGGCATCATTCCAAATAGCATGAAATCCTTCAAATCTCCGAAAATGGCCTACATCATCTTTGCATAGTGTCACACTTACCCTGTTCGGCGCAGAAGACTTACTGAGATGCTCACCTAGAAGAAAAAACATTGAGCAATCAGCTGCTAACTGTCAGAAAAACATGTCGTAAGAAACCCAAAAACGGGATTTTGTGCAAGAAATTCGGCAACGCGGCGCCATCGAACTCACATTCCAGGATGTCCTCCGCAGGTAACGAAGTGTCAAATTGGTGGTCTCTAGAAGCACGAAAGTCTCCTGAGTGGGAGAGGCCATCGGTAGTCTCGGGTACGCGACGAACTGCCACCCGGCTTACAATAATCGGAGTGCTAAAATAAAAAAGCGGCAAAAAAAAACGTTCGCCAACAAATAGTCCACAATGAACACGCGACCCGGACGCCGTCTAAGGGCAAATTCCAAGGTAAGAAGTGATGAGCCACGGCGCCGAGGATGATAATTCACTATTCCACTGCGAGTCCTAAAATAAGTACAAACAGAAAGAAGGTTGCTAAAAGTTAGACCACAAGAAAAACACTTTGCAAAAGGCACCCAACGAAACAAAACCTGGAAGGAGGCCGACGCAAAATCATAGGAGAGTGGCACACGATCACCGCAGTACCAAAAACTCTGCTCAAAGCAGAACGCTCCACGAATGGCCGTCGCCTCATCTGCAGGCCCGAGGGTGCTAAAATAGCAAAAGCGGTTAAAATTTGGTGTGCTACCAAATAATTCACGATAAAAAAACCTCATTTGGAAAGTTGGCCACAGGGTAATAAACCTGGCAAGCGGTTGACGCAAGAGATTTGGTGACTGGTACGCAATCAGTGCAGTACCAACAATCTGTTGAAAGCAAAACGCTCCACAAATGGCCGTCGCCTCAACTGCAGTCCCGAGAGTGCTAAAATAGGAAAAGCGTTTAAACTTAGGTGTGCTATCAACTAAAACCCGATCAAAAATACTTCATTTGGAAAGTTCGCCAGAGGGAAATATACCTGGCAAGCGGTCGACGCAGGAGAATGGGTGACTGGTAAGCAATCAGTGCAGTACCAACCCTCTGCTCAAATCAAAACGCTCCAGAAAAGGCCGTCACCTCATCTGCAGGTAGGGTGCTAAAATAGCAAGAGCGGTTAAACTTTGGTGTGCCACCAAATAATTCACGATAAAAAAACCTCATTTGGA